AATTAAAGCATGGAAAGACGTGAATTGTAAACAACGTGTTGCTTGCATAACGTTACATTTCCCTCAGAAAAGCCTTTCAGTGCTTTAAAAAGTATGAAATACCTCTGTGGGCTAGCTTAGCGCTGCGCTGGAGTCCAGGTGTGGTCGTCTGGCTGGTGCTCACAGACGCTGCTTGAGGCACATACTGGTGCAGGTTGTGAGCAGGCGAGTATCTCTCGGGGGGATATGGCGGAGAGGGGTTCTGGTAGAGAAACTGTGGGTTTTGGGGACCAGGATACTGAGTTAAAGCTGGGTTTATTCCAGAAGGAGGTGCGTATGGAGGGGGCCGCTGCTCCTCATGTTGGAAACCATGGTTCACCTGAGACCCATTGTCGTAGATCTGAAGGAAATTAGAGTTTTGTCAGTTTCTCAGGTTCGAAAAGCATTTTGCTTACATATTGTGTTGTAATAAGGATATTTAACATGCATAAGGAAAGTTACGAGAGACAACAGTGCCCATGTTAATTAATTACAGAATGACTAACAATGACAATGAATAAACTGTTCCAGGAATATTAAATGAATGTTCATTATTTGAATCATTAATCGCCACTTACTTTCAATAATACTAAAAAGACTGAGGTATTTAATAGTAAATCATCTGATAAACATGTTAGTTCAACATCATACAAGCAGTAGACAAAGGAAATAAGCGTAAAGGAAATAAACACTGGTAAAAAATAAAGATTTTCATTTCAGATTTCATTTAGTATAGGCTACTAGACATTGAATATATTATATAGTTTCCACTTTCCACCAGAACTTTTTTTTTAATAAATAAAAAAGTATAAATTACCATAATGACAACAACTATTATCATTAATGAAGAAAGAAAAATGGTGGCAGGAACTATATAACATTCAATGTTAATATAAAATTCAGTGTTAATAAATTGCTTTGAAAACAAATCAATTACATCGATAGTTCTCAACACACACAAACCCACTAATATTATTTTAAATATGTATAAATCAACATTGTTCATTTGCACAGTCCAATCCCAGTCCTGAATGGGTTTAAGTCTGTATTGAATTTATTTAAATTTCATTCAGGCACAATAATTAGTTCCCTGTCTTTCAGAAAACACTTCCCTCAGAAAATGACTTGAACATGAACATGAAAACAGACCAAACACTAACACTTAAATCAGGCCATCAACCATTGTGTTGTCAATGTTATCTTTACAGTGTTTTTCATGCATTTAAATCGAACTTCCTTTCAATTTTGAAAAAAAGATTAAAGTACCATCACGATGAATCATTCATCAGCTTCGTCTTTGGTCGGGATAGTTAATGCTTTACAAGTATATCTTATGTGTTGACAAAGAACTGCGGCTTTATGAAACCGACAAGCAAACAAATGCCATTAGTGACAGAAAGAAGAGGATAAACATGTTCAGATTGAGCATGTCATTACCGGATTCGTATTCCTCATCTTTAGCCTTTGGCTTCGTTTGGACTGTTCAACTCAATCCAAAAAACTCTCGAACTTCAAGCTCAAGCTCAAATCTGCTGACTGAACACACAGCAGAACAAACATTATTAGTCTCAGAAAAGGCTTTAGGTCTGTATGAAATGAGTCTCTCTGACTGATACATATTATAAATTAGACTTCTATACAGTAAAACTTACCTGACAGAAGGTTCTGCAATAGTGACTCTGCGTCTGCTGTGTGTGTGTGTGTGTGTGTGTAATGAGCAGCCAATGCCACACCTTTGCTTAGTTAACCAGCTGACCTAAACTCTCAATAGTCAGGTGAATGTAAATACAAAATGACCCCTGCTGACCTGTACTAAAAGTTTATAACCACTATAAGAGCATTACAATGTCTTATTGCTAAACAAGTATGCATAACATGTCTTATCGATACAGAACATACTGTAGATGACACTGCTTTACATTTAAGTTAAAGAAACAAAAGTGGTGAGACAAAAATAGGTAAAACATATGCAAAACATTCTTCTATTTAAAGATGCTTCCTTCTGGCTCACTTCATGTTCACAGCTGTAGATAAGGTACAATAGTAATATAAGAGATAGTGCACATGTCCAACTAATTTCTGCAATCCTAATTCATTCATACCAATAGCCTAGTTCATTACTTTTTTACATATATGAGATTTTTATATTATTATTATTATTAATAATTAATATAATTTCTTTCAAACATGAAATCCATGGATTCAGATCCAACTCCTCCCACCTTACATATACTTAACCCTACCTATCTCGGCCCCCTGATCCCTAACCCCACCCCTCTCCACCCCTTAGATCTGGATCCAACTCCGCCCCCTGGATCTCGTGTACTGCTGCAAATATCTCCCTTTGCTTCGAACGTTGAGCATTGTAACTTTGCAGATGTTGTTTATCATATCATATTCAACCACCCCTTTAACATTTTTATATTGAAATTGTTTACGTCCCACTCATTAACGGTTCATCAGGCTCTTAATGACGTCATGTCTTGGAATATCTGAAGGGTTTTCCCACTATCAGACATTAAAACATAACACATTTCACAAAATGCATTGTTTGGTCAATAATTCAAGAAGATCCATACTTTAAAACTCTTGTATTTGCACAAATGTACCACACTTGTAATTGTTTAGTCGTAACATTTGTTACAATAATAAGACTGTTGACTTTCCCCCCATTTTTGTATTGATCTCTATGGCTTTTGTTATGAAAAATAGCAACCTACACATTTTGAAACTCATGCAACACAGTTGTAATATACATCTATAAATATCCTATATATTTAATAAAATCACCAACCTGTATTACAAATATTTACCACATTAATAACAATAAAATGTGATTGATTCTAGAACGGCTGGTAAAGCTTTCTAATTTATGTTGGTGCAAGACGATTTTTCATCACGATTTTAAATAATGTTTGACTTCCTCTATAGCTTTTAAATAAAATTTAAAGGGATACTCCACTTTTTTTGGAAATAGGCTCATTTCACCACTCCTCCAGAGATAAACAGTTGAGTTTCACCGTTTTCAAATCCATTCAGCTGATTTTCTGATATTTAGAAGAATATCAGTAACAAGACAGTATCTGACTTCCATAGTATATATTTTTTCCTACTATGGAAGTCAATGAGACCAGAAACTGTCTTGTTACTGATATTCTTCTAAATATCAGAAAATCGTCTGAATGGATTCAAAAACGTTAAAACTCAACTATTTAACTCTGGGGGAGTTGTAAAATGAGCCTATTTCCAAAAAAAGTGGAGTATCCCTTTAAATGTTGGGCTGGTTGTACCTGCTAGTTTGAGGAAATAAATATTAATAAGGGCAGCTAACTGTAAACATCATAAAATCACAAGCTGGAGTACAAGAAATCATTTCGTACATCTTCCAGGAATCACCTGAATAATAAAAAGCTATAAAATCATCACAACAAGTGTGTGATGAAGGTTTAGTCCGTCACATGACGTAACTAGACTTCCTGTTCAATTTCCAGATAGATGGTTTAAACATTGAGAAATCACTACAACAAGCTGTAAAGATAGTTGGCTATATCACCAAAGTCCGCTATCACACACACAGAGTCCCCCTGTTGTTATTCAGTAACTCAGTCACTGGGCCGATACTTTGACATCACAAAACATCCTGTTAATGTTTGTCCCGATCCTCTACCGGTTAGTCTGAAGCACAATGACTTTTCAATGACAAATAGAAGCAACTGATAATTAGAAGCTGATAAACTGAGTGTTAGTTTTGCTAAGTACACAGAGACGGAGTTGTGTGACGGGACGAGTGTGGCGTCTGAAGGTGGAGCCAGAATGTTTTATTTAAGCTGCCCAGAAAAGAGCCTTCTCGCTTCTCTGGAAGAACACAGGATCCCTAATTTGACCCCTGCAGGGATATAGCTGGGACAAAGGGAACACATTTGTGTTAAACAGTGTCTAAAATGGTACCGTGACTGAAAAAGGTCTCTTCAGAACAACATACCACCACACTACTCTAGTTCAGCGTATAATATGTATACGGTGCACATTTTCAGTAACAGGAAGTAATTAAATATTTTCAAAGCTCTTCTTGAATCATTATTTGATTGGGTTTAAATGCAACACGAGGAGGTCATTTTACAACGTAGCATTCTAGCCTGAAACGTGATGTGTAAAAATGCCTCCATTTAAAGACACAGGCGGGGTACTACAGGTGAACGGGCCACATTTATAATATGCCAATTGTCTCAAAAACAATAGATTTTACAGAAAATGTCAAAACTTTATAGGGATACTCCAGATAAAAATGAAAATTCTGAAATCATATCATTCCAAACTGTGGAACATAAGAAGAAACGTCTCAGTGTTTTTTGTTTTGGCTCATACAATGGACGCATTCTTCGTTTGTGTTCGGCAGAGGATAAAAAGCCACACAAGTTTGGAACGACATGTGGGCGAGTGAATAATTATTTTAATTTTGGGCCGTAGTTTCTATTTAATATGATCAACACATATTAGTTTACATCTCATTTTGTTTTCTAATTGTCACGACATTTAACAAAATATCTAATAATACAAGGGAAAATGAATAAATAAAGTGTGTAAATGTTAAGTCTTTTTCTGCTATTTTTATACATTTTTTCATTAATATTGACAAACTTGTTTTCATGTTTGTGAAGCACTTTGTGTTGCATTCCATATGAAAAGTGCTATATTAATAAATGTTTATTATTATTATTATTATTAAATAGACATACATAAGTCGCCAAAAGGGATTGGTTTGGGGATTTCTGTTTAATGAGCCTTCAAGTTTGATTAAACCATAAAAATATGAGAAAAATATTTTATATTTTTAAAAATTTTAAAAATGAGGGAAAAACAAAACACTACACTTAAGGTTAAGGTATTTATCTGACAAAATTATTAGAGGGTAAACTATAGCCATGGGTTTTATTTTATGAAGCAAAATGCATAGAAAAACAAAGCTTGCAAGAAACAGCATAATCAGTCAATGATATTTAGTTTATTCTCTCGCTTTTGCATGTTCATAATTTCTTTGAACGACAGCCTGTCCAAAAATTATGTCCACATATATTGACATTTCATTGCGTTATGACATAAAACAATTGCACTTAATAAAGTCTATAAGCAAAATATCATTAAAAATGGGATTGAAAGATGCTAAACAATTGTAATATAATACAAATAAAATGTGAGTTCTGCTATTAGTTGCATTATCATCATCATCATTATTATTATTATTTTTAACATGGATGTTTGTTTGTTTTTTTGGATGGATGTAGTCAGGGGTAAATTTCCAAAATATTGTGGAAAGTGAAAATTGAAAAACCATCATTTATGCATTGTCCATATTACCACTCATGCCTATAGTATCTGCAGCGTTCAACAATCACAAAGTAATAATTGTGTGTTCAATTAACAACTTACTTGTGGCATAAATTAGTTTCAGGTCACTGCTAGTCAGGTTGCCTCAAAGGACATTTCCAGGGTGCTCAGAAACAGAAGTCATCATCTGTAAACTTCTATATATACAATGTTAATTATTGCCGAAATGCATCATCACAGTCTGTGAAGTTTTGTGCACGTTCTCCCTCTGGTGTTCATTCAGGGGAACTGCATTATGAGTATAAGCATCACTCATCAACAGTCAATCAATAGTCTGTTTTATTGCTGTTTAATTATAAACACTTTCATTACAACATTGACTGCACAGAATAAATATTACCATTTGGGAAGTTTGTATTTTATGAGCATTGATAAGTTTTCCCCCTATTTTAAAAAAAAAAAAAAAAAGAAAGACCTTTTCTGAATCTCAAGTCCTAATATTTCTGGATGAGGATGGAGGAAGCGCCGCCGCCTCCATTGCAGATTCCAGCCAGTCCGTACTGTCCTGATTTCAGATTGTGCACCATGTGACCTACGATTCTCGCCCCTGACATCCTAGAAATCGCAAAACCGTCACATTAATTATCACGCAAATCTAATTCCAGTGCGTCAATGTAGTGAACAGTGATGCATGAGAGGGATGCTGCTCACCCGATTGGATGTCCGAGGGAAACGGCTCCTCCGTTGATATTGACTTTGCTGGGGTCGATGTCTAACATCTTGATGTTGGCCAGCACCACAACACTGAAGGCTTCATTGATCTCCCACATGGCAACGTCTTCTTTCTTCAAACCGGCCGCCTTCAGGACCTGCACCACATAGATGTTATTATGACACGTCAGCTTTGCAGTTAACCCTCTGAGGGTCCTCGGTCACTTCTGACCGTGAATTATTAAAAATCACAGCTTCATCGGAGTGTTACGAAACTTGGTGACATTACTGGCATTATGTATGTGAACACAAAAAAAAAATGAGTTCATGATCCGAGCATGCTAAGTGGTCGTAAAAAAATTAGTCACGATTTTGGTCTTTGGTCAAAAATGACCCCATAGGAAAATGAATGGGAAATTGACAAAAACATAAAAATTCACAATTTTTTTTAACAAATTTTTTAATAAGAAATAGTTTTTGAGATTGTTTCAAATAAATATTCAAATTCACCAAAAAAAAGTGTTCATAAACAGCTGGGGAATTCACATGCTTCTCCATAGAGAGCTGTACACGCCATCTAGTGGTCACACCATGATTCTACGCTTTTCTCTATACTGTAACCAGATGGTGCTAATTTTCTTCAAAAAATAATTTTTTTCTGAAGGCCTAGACTCTATGTTAAACTAAAATACTGCATTAATAAAAAAAAATATATATATATATATATATATATATATATATATCCTTTGAAAAAATAGACCATGAATATTGCATAAATATTAATAAATTCAATCAAATTGTCTCAAAATAATAAATTAAAAAGAATAAATATTATAGAACAAAAATAAATTGCATTGGTTTCACTGGGATGGAAGAAGTTTCATTTTTAAGCCTCCGGTCACTTCTGACCGGGAAGGCCCAGGATCAGAGGGTTAAGACAAATATCAGCTCACCTTCGGGACGGCAAAGGCTGGAGCGATGGGGAAGTCGATGGGGGCGATGGCAGCATCAGCAAAAGCTGCAAATTGACAAAAAATTGTGGTCGAGATGTGTAGGAAAAGCCAGCAAACATAAATAATCTGAAAAACTTGGCCATTTATGAGTAACTCACTATTAGAATGCAACAACTCAACTCCATGTTTTAGTAGCATGACAGTAACACAGCCGTTTTCCCAGGAAAAAAAAAACAACAGTTTTTTTCCCCGAGAAGCAGTGATGTTTTTTTTTAGCATTTTTAATAGGCTACATCACCGCTTCTTGAAAAAAAAATGTCTTTTTACTGGGAAAACGGCTGTGCTGCTGTCATGCTACTAAAACATGTGGTTGAGCTGTGGCATTCTAATAGTGAGTTACTCAAAGCCCTTCAGGTAGCTTTAATTATTTGTAACTATCCTCAATAATTAATATGTATATATATATATATACCTAATATTTAGTATATAATTAATTTATTACTATTCCTTGCACATTTTACATTCATAAATGTACATTTTCAAAAAAAAAAAAGCAAAAAAAAAACAACAAGATGATGATTTAAATTTACTTGGTTCTATGTGTGACATTTATAAGATATTATCAAAATGTAATCTATTTTAACCCTCCAGGAATATTTAGGGGGTTTTGAACAATATCTGAAAAACTGTTTTCAGACAATGTCATCAAAAGGGTTAGTTAGACTGTAGCTTAACAACTTCATTTAAATTATTTACATTAAATTATTAAGTGCCTTTAGAATGATGTTGTTCTTCAAGAAAGAATCCAGGGGATAAATACAGCAGGACTAAACCATGTGATAAAAACATGAGCAATATTTTGGGGTAAAAAAACAAACAAACATTCCTCCAATCATTGCAGCATCTGTTGAAATGATCCGAATACAGCGTAAAATGATTTCAACATTTGCCTCACCAACAATCTTTGCCAGCGGTGTGACGCCGAGCCTCTTCGCTGCGTCCGCTGTCATGAGCACGAGAGCAGCCGCGCCATCGTTCAGCGTACTAGCGTTAGCGGCCGTCACTGTGCCTGCACAAACAAACGTCCCGAAACAAGTCTTTATTATCCTCAAAGCAGACATTTAAAAATAGTATGGCTTAAAAATGTTCACTTAGGTCTATTTGTATTAAATTGTCTGATTACTCAGTTAATCAATTACCAAAATAATAATTAATGACATCACTGGATTAGTTGAAACATGTAGTTCAAACGCACCTGCATTTTTTGCATTTTGTGAAATTCAGTGGAATAAAAGACGAGTCATATATTTCGTCATTGAAGATTTCTTAATATAAACGGTGTAAAAATATCATCTCGACTCATTCTAGTGAAGCCAATATTGTGTAACAATTCGTTATAATCCTCAAAGCATTCATTTAAAATAGTGACACATGACTAAAAGTCATGACGAGAGATTATTAAACAATGATTGAAAAGAATAACTAAAAATGTACAATCTTTAAGTACACTTAAGTGGCCTTATATTTCAGGTACAGTTATTTTTCAATATACTTTGAAGGTTAAAGTGACGACGTTTACCGTTCTCTTTCTGGAACACAGCTTTCAGTTTGGGGACTTTGCTGAAGTCAACCTTCTTATATTCTTCATCTTCCTTCACAACAATGTCTGGTTTTCCTGAGAACATTTTAAATCACAATAATGGTGCATTTTAATATATGCAAATATATATATATATAATATACATCCATCATGTATTTTAACAGTTGTTCAATAAAACCATGAACCAATTAGTATTGCTTAATTGTTATTATATATGTATTTAAAGTAGGGCCGTGCAAATATTCATCGTGATTAATCGCATCCAAAATAAAAGTTTGTGTTTACATAATATACTTATTTATTTATTATATATAAATACATACACGTGCATATACTATATATATATTCATATACAACATATTTATATATATATATATATATATATATATATATAATAGGTTATGTATTTATATATGAAGAGTTCAGATGCAACAGCCTCTAAATGCCATTTGAAATTTTCTTCTTTAATGATGATTTTTATCAAACTTGTATATTTAAGTTCAGTGATTTCACTTAAATGGCAATGATAATTACCTATTAATTGTTATTTAAGTGAAATTACTGAACTTAAATAAACAAGTTTGATAAAAATCATCATTAAAGAAGAAAATTTCAAATGGCATTTAGAGGCTTTTGCATCTGAACTCTTCATATATACATGTAAGTATTTACGTGTAAATAATATATACATGCATGCATATGTATTTATATATACAAAATAATTATACACAGCACACACAATTATATTATGTAAACCCAAACTTTTATTTTGGATGCGATTAATCACAATTAATCTTTGCACAGCCATACTTTTAAGTAATTTCAGAAGCTATCGTTCACTTAGGTCTATTTGTGTTATCAAAATTGTCCGATTACTCGATTAATCATCAAATTAATCGACTGATTACTCAATTACAAAAATAATAATTAACGACAGCACTGGATTAGTTGAAACGTAGTTCAAATGCAACTGCATTGTTTTGCATTTTGTGAAATTCAGTCGAATAAAAGACCAGTCATATATTTCGTCATTGAAGATTTCTTATAAATGGTGTTAAAATATCATAATCTTGTGTAATGTCTTGTCTCATGAGATAATATATCCTCACACCCCCACGTATTTTAACTCATACGAGGCATTTTTTTGCAAATAAGGAATTTCGCAGCTAGAGTAGTGAAACCAAACCAACCTCTCTGAGGGATGCTCACAGGAACCACTTCCTTGGCCATGATCCCGGACTCCCACGCTGCTTTGCTGCGGCTGTAGGAGCTGATGGCAAACGCGTCCTGCTCCTCCCTGGAGAAGCTGCTGTTCTTGGCTGTGTTTTCAGCACAGTTTCCCTAAAAATGGGGAAATATGGTGCCGTTATACACAACCATGGCCTCTCCGGTGTTTCCAAACAACTTCTTTATTCACTCAATACTTGATATCAGGCTGAGCCATCACGCAAATACAACGGAATCGGTCTTACTGGTTTATAAAAAATATGTACTTGCCATGTGGAATTTGTTGTAGACGTCCGTCAATCCGTCCTTAACAATCAGATCCTCCATCTTCACTCCACCATAAGGGGGCGCTTCTCTGGCCATGACATACGGAACCCGAGACATGCTTTCCATCCCACCAGCAACCATCACATCCTGGGAGACATCACGCAGATTCACTCATTTTGCTTTATTAAAGGAGTAGTTCACTTTTGCTGATAATTTACTCACCCCCGTGTCATCCAAGATGTCCATGTCTTTCTTTCTTCAGTCGAAAAGAAATTAAGGTTTTTGGTGAAAACATTCCAGGATTTTCTCCATATAATGGACTTCAATGGGAACCAAACGGTTCAAGGTCCAAATGAGAGTTTCAGTGCAAACTGTTCAAAGGGTTTTAAACGATTCCAGACGATGAATAAGGGTCTTATCAAGCGAAACGAGCGGTCATTTAATAAATAAATAACAAGTAAAAAAAAAGTTTTATAAGCACAAATGCCCGCCTTGCTCTGTTCGTGACTCTCCTGTTTGAACTCGTTCATCAAAATGAAAGAATCTTTTTCGAGTCATTTGGTTCATTCAACAAAAAAAGGAACCAAATGACTAAAAAAAAAAAGATTTGTTCATTTTGATGAACGAGTTCATACAGGAGAGTCACGAACAGAGCAAGGCGAGCATTTGAGCTTATAAAACTTAAACTTTGTTATTTATTTATTAAATGAGCGATCGTTTCGCTTGATAAGACCCTTATTCATCGTCTGGAATCGTTTAAAGCCCTTTGAACAGTTTGCAGTTTGTACTGAAACTGTCTTTTGGACTTTGAACCGTTTGGTTCCCATTGATGTTGTTCATCAAAAATCTTAATTTATTTCGACTGAAGAAAGAAAGACGTGGACATCTTGGATGACATGCGGGTGAGTAAATTATCAGCAAAAGTGTTTTTTTAAATGTGAACTACTCCTTTAAAGGCTCACTCTGTTTGAATCTGTGGTGTTTCACACTACCTGATGGCCACACATGAGACTTTGAGCGGCCAGCATGATGGACTTCATCCCAGAGGCACACACTTTATTGATGGTAGTGGCCTCAGTGGACAGAGGGAGACCTGCACGGCAAAGCAAACATTACACAACCCCGGCAGAACCAACACGAGCACTAAAACTTGCATTTGTAGATTCATCTCAGGCAAAGCACACAAAAAAGAAAGAAAAACCCCCTCACCTGCACCCAGAACAGCTTGTCTGGTCGGTGCTTGTCCTTCTCCTGCTTGCAACACATTACCCATGTACACTTCCTTCACCTCCTCCAAAGGGATTCCTGTAGATGACATGCAAACCTCCGAACATCAGAACAAATAAGACTTAAAAATGTAGATTTAAATGACACTTATTTCATGAATATAATTACATTAAATAATAATAATAATAATAATAAAGTGGGATTTATTATATATGCAAATAGCACACCTTTCTGATTTTTTATTATTATTTTTTACATATGCATATGCACTATTGTTTGAAAAGTATGGTCAGTATGATATTGAAAGAACTCTTATGTGTTTACCAAGGCTGCCTTTAATTGATCAAAAATATAGTAAAACAGTAATATTGTGAAATAATATTTTCATTATTATATTTTAGTGTATTTTAAAATGCAATTTATTCCTGGCCGAATATTCAGCATAATAATTATCCAGTTTTCAGTGCCACATGATCCTTCAGAAATCATTATTTATTATAATTATACATTTTGAATACATATCGTGCTGCTTATTTTTGTGGAAATGAATACATTTTTTTCAGGATTCTTTGATCAATTGAATAGAAGAACAACATTTCTTTGCAATACAATCCTTACACATTTTGATCAATTTAATACATCCTTGCTAAATAAAAGTATTCTTTTATTTGCTCTGAACCCAAATATTAAATTTTTATTATATTTTTTTAGAAAAATATATAAAATAAAAATGTGTATTTCTGCTAAGACTATCAAGGGCCGGTTGCATTAAATTTTGCTTAAGACTGTTCATAATTTGTTTTAAGTCAGTTACATAAAATTGTAGATTGGTTTAATTTGATACAGAAATTTGATAAGTAAGACCTTTAATTATTAATTCTGAGAACATGAACAGCTCCGAGTATAACGTCATGGGTTGCCATCTCGTAATCACGGTTGAACACAGCATAAGCCTGTTGCTTTGGTTAAGGAGGAACTGTAAAGACGATTGATGTTTGTTTACAGTGACTGTAGACTGTTAAGGTCTACACTAGTGTGGATGACATGGATATGCATGTGTTGAAAGACAAGTAGGACGTCGTTATCATTGCAGTGGGATGAACATTTTTGGTCCTGCGACTGCGAGATATATGTATGTTGTGATATTTAGACCACTTCTATTACTGATTGCTATTAGGATGTGAATAGAATTAGACCAGTTCAACAAAAAGTCTTTATAAAACAAATAGCCAACCCTACATTTAACATAATGGCTATGCTTTCATGCAATTGGCCCCAGATGTCTAACGTTACCTGCTTTCTCAATGGCTCCTTTAATAGCAATGGAACCGAGTCTGGTGGCAGGCACTGTGGAAAGGCTTCCTTTGAAAGACCCCATTGGGGTCCTGACAGCACTGACGATGACAACTTCCTGTTCAGACACAAATAAGAAAAGAAGATCATATTCACTGAATACACACCTGACAGAAAAACAGTTCTGGCTCCATGAAGTGATAAAATCGCGTTGACTCACATTTAGAGCTGGTCGTGTGGTGTAGGTCCTGCTGAGGTATTTATGTGCCTGCTAAGACATATTCATAAAACGGGTGTCCGTTAACATAATATCTGGTTACAGCATTTATACCAACAAAGACAAAATCTACAGGTTATAAAGGGAAACGCACTCGTTTAAAAGGTAAACAATGAAACAGGCCTGCAGTCAAACTGCTGCATGTGCCGTGAGTCGCAAAATTTCGGCTATTAATAACTATTTATTTAGTTCAAACTCACCAGATGTCTGCACAGATGAGTGCGTGTGCTGTACAGGGCACTGGATGCCATAACTGCGATGATAAACTGCATTCACACAAGAACAAATTTCACCTTCAAACCTCCGAATGGAGTGGACGTTTGCAGAGAGCAGCCAATCACAGCAAGAGGTGTGTCTGCGTCACATGGCGACGCTGCGAAGCATTATGGGTAGTGTAGTATATGTCATAGTTGTGGAAAAACTTGAAAGTAGAGCGTTACATAGTGAAATCTTTTTTTTTTTTTTTTTTTTTAAACACTTGTAAAAGGTTCTAGGAAATGTAATATTTGTCTCCATGTTGGTTTCATACAATGAAATACCATTTTTGGAATAGCTAAAGTAAAAGATTTAACAAAATGTGCCTTTTTATGAAAGGTTTTCAAATGTGTGATTTTGACACACAGTGCTCTCTAACTTTGATTTGGCTGACAAAAATCTGATGTTAATGATATAAAATAAAATCTCTTCAATGCTTTATTTATTTATATTATTATTTATTTTGTTAAGAAATAGTAATAATTGAAGATTAAGCCTATGGCAAACTATGTAGGCTATGCCACTATTTAAAAGGAGATTTGTGCCTTTTTTATAATCTTAAAGTTACACCATACACCACAGTGTCTTAAATTCAGAAACTCATTTTACAAGAGTATTTATAAAAAGAATTTAATAAGCCTAAGTTTTAATGTATTTTTCAAACAGGTGAATAAGTTATATTGAGGATGTGCATAAATGGCTTGTTCACTTTGCAGGAAAAATGCATCCACTTTTTCTTATATATTTTTATTCACTATATTAGAAGATGCATTAGAACTGAGTTGCAAGTTTTTGTGAATATTAATCATATTTATTTCTAAAATAAAAATCATACATTCATACATTGTGGCATTTTCTGTACAACATTGAAGAGGTACATTATTAGGAATACTGAGACTGACATTTTCTACATTTTCAGTTAAATGTTTAGTAGCAGTTCAGCCATCCATAGTTCAACAGAACACGATTCACTCGTTTCGAGGAGAAATCATACTCCGTTTGCCTGGGACCTTCTGAGAAATACAGGTAACCTAAAAATTAGAAGAAGAAAAAATTCGGGAAAAGGAAACAGCATTAAAAAATGAATGACTGATTTGTTAATGTTTTTTTATTTTTTTGTGTTTAAGCTCACCATAATTTTCAAAAGCCGCGTCCACTTGTGAGCCAATGCCAGGCAAATGATGCTGAATAGTTTTAGGAAAGCCTTTGTCCATCTGGCCTGTTCTTTCATTGAAGCTACACCATTGTACAAATAATGTTAGTTTTGATGTTATTTTAATCAACACAATATTATATTGTTTTCTCACCTCCAGTATTTGCTTCCAACAAAGAACAAAGTGCGTCCGGTTGATTTCACGTGTACGGCCGCATCAATCTTTTTCACATATGTGGGAAATCCAAATTTGGTTATGGGTTTGGGATATCCAGGCATGGTAGTGCTGCCTTTTATTCCCCAATACTGCTGACCTGAATGTGAAGACAACATGCACACTACATTTACTGAAGCCTATGCAGCACTTAAAGACTCTTGAGGAAATGAGACTTTACCATTGAAAAGGAAGCTAACGTCTCTGCCGCTGAACTCATACGCAGCATCCACAGAGTCAATGGATGGCCAGGTAGATTTGATTTCATGCCTTGAAAGTCCACTGTAGTAGCCCTTTTTCCAGTAATACCTGATGGACATGAAGGCATGATAAATGACAAACTTTTTTAATTATATTTTTTACATGAACATAGCCAAAACCACATTAAAAAAAAAAACTTCAGCATTTCCCATATATACTGAGATTACTATACATATATAATAAAATTAAACAATATCAATTAAAATGATATTCTTACCCATGTTTAAAGAAGTACAGTTCTCCACGAACGCTGGCTGCCGCATCAAATACCAAGTCACGCTTGCACGGTTCTGGTGGGTTTGGTTCAGGATTGGGTTTTGGTTCTGGTTCTGGTTCTGGTTTTGCCTCTGGTTTACCTATTGACGCTCGAACACCTGAAACATTATAGAAAATGGGTGGAAAATACATATCTATTGATTTTTTTTTATCTATGATAATAAGGAAAAACCCAAAAAACATTTACCATACAGGGCCTGGACCCCGAGCCGGTCATCACGGGGAAGTGTGTAGCCATTGGTGTTGACGTATCGGTAGGTTGGATACATGAGAGCTGAAGGGTCTCTGGAGTGATCTAGTCCCAGTGCATGTCCGAATTCATGAGCAGCCACCAAAAGCAGGTTTATACCTAAAGCAGTTCATGATTTTTTTGTTTAAATAAACTTGTAATCATTTACATACACATAAGCATGTGATTCAATGTGATTTGTGCATTCACCTCGTGAACTTTGAGTCCACGTCTCATCATCATCAAAGTGTGTGTCTCCTCCCTGCTCTGGACCGGGCGAGTTGGCGTGAGCCAAAACCCCATTAGGCCCATCAAACGGGTAAAAATCTCCATGATCTAAAAAATAATCATGATTTTAATGGCAAAATTGGTTGTAAATTTAACGGCAAAACTGTAAATTGGTTTACAGAACGTTCCCGTGCTATATACAGTAAATAATATAATATGCGATATAATTTTACAGTAAAATACTGTTAAATTTACAGTTTAAGTGGAAAAAGAACAACTCTTTGTATAATTTACAGTAAAACAGTAAATTGACATTCCCACAATTCCCTGTGGCACTTCACATTTGATGTATTTTTGTTGAAATAACTATGGTTCCTCATAGTTTTTTTTTTTAGATTAATATATCGAAAACATATTAATTTTTCAAAATGTTAGTAAATCAATTTTTTTTTAACAATATAAAATACGGTTTATTACTGTAAATTTTAATTTAAGTCTGTAAAACCATTAACGTTCCTACCGTATTTTTAACGGTAACCACAGTTGCCGTTATTTTATTTTTTATTTCTTACTGTAGGCTAATATTTATATGTTTGTAAATCAGAGATGTGTTGAGAACCTACATCCAGCTTTGAAGAGAATCATGATATCAGCTGTGCCACTGTAGATCTGTTTGAAATCGAGTGGGATAACGTCACTGTAGAGCTGGAAAGCTTTGGCAATAATGGCATCCACATCTCTCTGGCTCAACTGGGATGTATATTCAGTAATTCTAAGAGAGAAAGAAGCAAATCATGTTTAATATCATTAAAAGTCACCAATTGACAACTCCTATTTTTATGGAATATTGCAGTGTTTATTATAAATGGTTTATCCATACACATCATCATTTCCATGCACACTCATCAAAATAACTTCCTCTCCAACGATAGTCAGTCAGAAAGCTGGAAAGCATTTCCATATCTGGCAAGACAAACTTGTCTTATATGTGCTAAGCATTTCACATTTATGCATTTGGCAGATTATTTTATCCAAAGTGACTTACATTGCAGTTAAAAGTGCATTGCGCAAGTCTCTGAGTTTTTGAAGAACTACGCCCCCTCTGGCGACAAGTGAAACTGCAACCACCGCTGTTCTTAACCAAAGGAGCATCAGCCGCACACATTTTTTGTTACAGCCATAATGTCTTCAGAGGTAATAAAGTTATAAATCTGCAAGTCATTTTAAAAAGGCATTCGAGTAAATTACACACTTATGTGTGTGTGAGGGAAAAACGGGGGTAGTAGACTTTGTTTTTTGTTTCCATCTATCTCCATGTTGAACTGTTTTATGTGCTTACTGTATCCACTTATTATGAAAAAGTGTTATTTAACGGCTATTTTAAACATGAAATGTTGCGCAATGCACCTTTAAGGTATTTTATCACTTTTTGCTTTCCGTGGGAATCGAACCCACGACCTCGATGTTGATTGAGAACACTAAGACACATGTCCACGCTAAACCAACCTGTATGTTACAACGCTCTGCTTCCAGCTGGGTCTGCCCTGGAAGTGGTTGAATTTGGCCACATCGGTGACTCCACAGCGCGGCAGCTTCATCGTCTCAAGAGTGTTTGAGTCCAGCTTGCCCGTGACCTCCAGTCCAAAAAACGCCTGCATGACCTTCAGCTCCTTTTCTAGATCTGGGAGGAACATGGTTCTGCTGCGGGATTCAGTCGCATTATTGTCCCTGTAGAACTGTGACAGATAAGCCTGGGGAGAACGAGGAAGGAACGTTTTAGCACGATTATAAGAAACATAAGAGTAAGGCGTGTGGGTACTGACCTCCGCTATTTGATGGTCTTCTGGTGATGCAGTCGTTGGTGCGCCTTCACAAAGAGCCGAACACACCACGAGTGTCAGAACTAGAGCTGTCGAGTGCCCCATACTACAGTCCTGTTCCTCTGGAGGGAAAGAAAAGTGTCCTCCAGAGTCTCTGTTTCTGCCTTTTATGAGTCTAGGTCGTCTAAGGGGCCTGTCCCGAGTTTTATCATTTCCAATCAGCAGTGGGATTAGCGGGGGTGGGACAGGAGAACTTCAGGGGGTTTAAGCTCCTGTCCGAACATGTCAGGCAAAAGTTTGTATTGAGGATGACTTCACCTGTGACTCAACTAAATGGGTCGCTTTAGGAAGATCGTGGGTTTTGTATTCCCCCCATCTGCTCATTTTCATCTCCGGAGGGAATTTGTTTTATCAACAAAGTTAGAGTTAGTTAACTCAACTTTAACTTTTTTTTTTTTTTTTTTTTTGCAGTCTACATTACACTACGTTTCTACATTGTCTAAATTTCCACATTAAAATTAAAAAAAACGTCATGAAATGTGTCGCTGCGATTGAGAAAACATTATTCATAAAAAAGGGTATACAGCTGTTTCCATTCAAAGTTACACATAAAAAAAATACAAATAAAGCAGTTTTTCCATCACATGTTCAAGATAAAAATATCATTACTTCCAGGAATTCAAAAAATATATATATCTGTAATGAATGGGAGTTGTTTTTTGCATCAAAAACTTGCGTCAGATGAAATGCAATAAACACTGTCATCTTGCATTTGTATTGAAATCATGCAATCATGTGAGACAGTTCTGGCACTTAATCATTGTGATGACAGACTTTAGTGCAGGGCTTTCAGTATGATCAAACTAGTATGATCAACATTAGAAGAAGAAGAAGAAGAAGAGGTTTTATTTAAGGAATACACTATTTATTTTAATTGGTGTTAAAATATTAAATGATATAATGTCATGTTGAATGTCAGCCAGGAAACATCTCACAGCCTTTAATGATCAAGTGAATGAGTACATTTGACCAAATTTACAAAGTATCTCAAGAGTTGTGCCCTGTATATTTCTATCCCATGGTAATATACAAATATATATAGAGAGAGAGAGAGAGAGAGAGAGAGAGAGAGAGAGAGAGAGAGAGAGAGAGAGAGAGAGAGAGAGAGAGAGAGAGAGAGAGAGAGAGAGAGAGAAAAGAATGCAGATAAAGTGTGCTGATTTTTTTAAACATGTAATTTAGATACCAAGATGTTTGTTTTTTTCTTTATTGCTTTTGTTAACTTAAAGGTTCAGCTTTAACATCAGTTCATATAATTTGCAAGGTATACCAATAATTATTTTTATATCATGCACTCCAGACTCCAAATTTCTTTTCAGGTACAGTATAGTGGGCAGAGCTTGTGGCCAGTAAACATTTAATTTAATAAGCATTAAATGTTATTGACGATGTCAGGCTTTTTCGGCTTTGACTGCAGTTTTAAATAACCACTGGAATTCCCTTCAGGGCACATCCAGTGCGTATATAAGTTTCCTAAACCCTGACATTAACGAAAGACGCAAATGCAAAAACACAACCCTGAGGCTGTTTAACAGAGGTCTCCAAAACACCCTTACTCTTGCCCTAACATATACCCACAGGAAGTTTGCCCATATATGTCCCAGAGATCCTTTAACAGAAATTCTACTTGTTTTTATCTATTGAACTGCAAAACACATAGTGATGACAAGACTAATCTATCCCTCATAGCTCTATACTCAGAAACGCCTAATACTATAGCCTATCTGTCAGGCATGGGGTTGAGGAGATGAAGCGAGGATTCAATTGCAGGAAAATATGTGTTTTTATCAAGTATAAAAATTAAACAAATACAAACAAAAACTGCCCCGAGGGGGAAAGCCAGACAGACTTGATTTGACTTGACAACAGGATCTAGGCAGGACAGAATTATAGTGTGCCAAGTGCCACACGGTTTTCGGCTAATATCTCTGCGAATACGCCACCAAAAAAGACGAAACGCATATGGTTTTGTTCAGTTTGGCGAGACGGTTTGAAGGAACCCAGTGTCCGCCGGAAATGTTGAGTTTTCGACAAGATATTTGCGTTTTTTCGCTTCCGGGGGTGCTTTGGGGGCCTGTCTCGGGCCCCCGGGTGAGTCTGGGGGCGGTCTCTTTCGAAAGGTTTCGTCCCGTTCTCCACTCGATAAAAATTTGGCGTCGAAACGTTGAGTTTTCAACGAGATATTTGCGATTTTCTCCAGAGCTCGTCGGGCGCCATTTCAGAGCGCGGCCGACCGTTTTCGGCTTATCCACAAGTTTCCTACGCCCCATGAGGCCTTGCGTCAAAAGTGGGCGCGACTTCCGGTTTGAAGTAAACAAAGCGCTACTTGACATGCTTGACACTCGTTCATTCAACAGTCGACAGTCATTCAAGTTATAGCGATCCAAACTAGCTAACGATGTGGGAACACAACCTCAACGAAATTAAAAAGGGTGAAATAACAGTACCTTTACCCTCCGCAGTCCTTGATTGGGAGTATTATAATAACATTATTAATAATCAATACTCATCAAGGCATGGTGACAGACAGTTGTACGAGCTGACAAACAATTAAAATAAAAAATACACACTTAGTCATTGTGCTTTGGAGTTTATTCAAAATTATAAATGAATGTGCTGCTTGAATACATTAACTGGCACATTTGGTATTCTGTAAACACAGGCTTTGATCCTGAGTTTAGGTGTAACATCAGTAGCGAACAGCCAAACACATGCTGATAGAGTTTATAGAATATTAAGATATTAAACAAATGTACACAGGAAGATTCGTCATCTTTTGGGAGGTTGATGGAAACTTCAGTCGTTGGCAGGATCACTGTGATTTCGTTTTCAGCTTATGTTCAAAACAATCACGTTTAAGCCACTGAATTAGTTTAGTCCGGTTATACATACAACCGCGAACAGCGCATGTTGTCCCTGAGCTCCGTAACGACATCTCTCATAAAGATTGGCGTCTTTAAATAGTAAAATAATTCTCCGAAAAACAGCTAGCCTCTTCGCTAACTAACACACAAAATACCATTGGAATGCTGCTTCCGCCGCGTCACCGGAAGTTTCACCCACTTTATTTTTTACATGAGCGCCCCTCGGAAACTTGTGGATATCTCCGTGAATACTCCACTAAAATGACGAAACATCATCTGCAAGACGTCTTTAGGACGTTTCCTGCAGATGTCAAATAGACGTTTAGAAGATGTCTCTAAGATGTAATGATTTAGAATGCATGTTGAAACTGACATCTTATAAACGTTTATTTGACATCTGACAGGAAACGTCCTAGACGTCTTGCAGATGAGCAAACACTCTTAAAAATACGTCTTTCAGATGTAAATAGCACATCAAATAGCCTTGTGCACACAACATCTCCTCTCTCTGAGGACTCAACACCAAAATAAAAGTCCTCCGCAAGAATATGTAAAAATAGAACACAATGAATATTAAACAAAATAAACTTTGTTTAACAAAATAAACACTATTATCTGAGTCGGAAAGGCTCTTGAGTTAATGTTAACAGTATTTCCCAGCCAAAAACAATCCTTGCTTCCAAAATAAACATGCTCACATGCGCTTCAATTGAATTAGTGACTTTAGTTTATTTGAAAATAATCAATAACCTTTAACCATTATTGTATAAATAGTAATACACATTCTTTTAAATAGTTAACAAGAGTAAAATAGAAGTCCAGTGACAATTTTGACCAGCAGATTGTACAAAAACATGAACAATTCATTAATTTGAACTGTTTCCTATGCAAATGCATTTAAGTATGTAGGCCTACTGTAGTTACGCTCCATTCGTTTCTTGTTTCGGGGTAACTCGACTAACAGGACAGGAAGTGATCGTTCTTCAGCACACGGAGGAGGTTCCTGCTGCTGCCGAACTCATACACATTTGTCCCACTGAAGAGATAAATGTTATCTGGAAGAAAAGAAGTCATTGAGTCTTTGTATTGTTACAGATCTGTAGAAAGGAAGTTAGAAACGCCTACCGTCGATCAGATGGGCTGCTGTGACCTCTCCAGTCACTGATGGAAATCCATCTGCCACTCGTTTGGGATTTCCATCCATCTTCTTCATCATCTCATTATAGCTAACAAAAAAGGGGAAATTATACATTCAATCTTTTCTGGGGACATTTTAAGGTCCAGATTGTGATCCAGCACTTGACCCACCTATAGTAATATTTCTCAAAGAAGAGCAGTGTTTTTCCTGAGTTTTTGTCGTGGACGGCAGCACTGATTTTTGTCACAGATGGTGGCAGACCAAAGCTGCTGAGAGGCTTGGGATAGCCCGGCTCAACAATGTTGCTTTTAAAAGCCCAGACTTGTTTACCTATAAATAAACACATGCCGTAAGTTTGTTAGTGTTTTTTTTTTTTCCTGAGGATTTTAAATTGGAAAAAAGTGCAACACTCTTGAAGAAATCCAACGTAATTGTGTGATATATCGTCCATTGTCAAGGCCTTCATCAGACATGATTTTAAAGAGATTGTGAGTGTGACTGTGGTTTCAGAGTGATCAAGAAAATACCTTTGAATAGGAAAAGTTTTTCTTCCACTGGATCCTCGTAAGCAGCATCTACATAAACCGGGGCGTTGGACCACAATTTTCTGATTAGATGTTTTGTCACACTTCCGCTCGGAGAACTACGCCAGACAAAGCTGCACAGAGGCACGTGAAGTCAATCATTTAAGTATTTTATTATATAATGTTCCCTCTACTAATATCGGCACGCTTGGTCAATATAAGCAAAGGCGGCTGTGAAAATAAATCTGCATTGTTTATCCTTTTGATCTTTCATTAAAAAAAAAAAAATCAAACCTTTCATTGAAGTAAAACAGTTACATTATGAAATAAATGTTTTTCTTATTGGCACCCCTAGAAATTCTAATGAGTAAAATATCTGGAACTTCAAAAGGGACCTGGTTTATGGTCTTCTAAAGAAACTAAAGAAAAAGCTTTTTGGTAGCAAACCCACCAGATGGGTTTAGTGCAAACAAGGATAAAAAGTTCCCTTGTAAATATACCACTGGATCTTTAATGTTGTGGGGCTGTTTTTTAGCTGGAGGTCCTGGACGTCTAGTTCAGATATATTTGGAATAATGGATTCTAGCAAATACCAACAGATAAAATAATAAAACATGACAGCATCTACTAAAAATCTTATAATGGACCATAGTTGGATCTTCCATCAGGACAACGATCCATAACACACATCAAAATCAACCCAATAGAAAATGAGTGGTCTGCACTGAATAGAAGAAGCACCAACATTGATCTGGGAATCTGAAGGATCAGGAGAGATTCTGTATGGAGTAATGAATGACCTCTGATCTCTTGTCAGGTGTTCTCCAAACTCATCAGGCATTATAAGATGAGACTCATATCTTGGAAAAATTATGTTATAATAATTTGGTGCCAATAATTGTGGTAAACGTGAACTAGAGAAAAACATTTATTCCATAATATGACTTTCCTACGGAAGCCCTGAACCGCAACCTAAAAAAAAAAAAAAATCAGTAAAAAAAAAAAAATAATAAATCTGTAAAAAAAAAAAAAAAAAAAAATCTAGCATTTCGAGATTAAAGTCGAAATGTTTCGAGATTAAATTCGAAATGTTTCGAGATTAAAGTCGAAATGTTTCGAGATTAAAGTCGAAACATTGTGCATTCATAACAGTGCGCATCCACTGGCTCAGAGCGCGCGTGTGTGTGTGAAGTCGAACTGCCATGGATAAACCCAAAATAGTAGCTTTTTACTTTTATCTGGGCTTTCAACAAAATTCTACACACGTCACACGTGCTAGTGGCAGTGTTTCTGAGGTGTTTTCGTGCTCGTCTAGTCAACACTATCTGGGTCGAGAACACAACAGTAACTGTTCGGTCTCCCTCTTCAACGTAAATACGCTCTGGATACATTTTAAGTGCATCATTCTGTATCCAATCATTTGGCCGGATCCTGTGATTTTCTAAGATTTAATAACCACTTATGGTTGAGGAGAGATTCTCTGATATGATTGTAAAGCACTTTGAGTGTAGGCATATATGAAAGCGCTATATAAATGCCCTATTCATTCATTCATTCATTCATTCATAAAGCTGGATTTCTCCATCCAGTCTGAAAAGTGTTTTCCGTGTTGGTTTTCCTATAGGCTAAAGTCTATTCCGTGCATTATATTTTATAACGATAAAGTAAGATAAGTAATTCAGATAAAAGTAAAAAGCTACTATTTTATGTTTATCCATGGCAGTTCAACTTCACGCGCGCGCTCTGAGCCAGTGGACGCGCACTGTTATGAATGCACAATGTTTCGACTTTAATCTCGAAACATTTAGACTTTAATCTCGAAACATTTCGACTTTAATCTCGAAATGCTAGATTTTTTTTTTTTTTAGGTTGCGGTTCAGGGCTTCCGTACTTTCCTCCCACATTCAATTGTTTTACTTCAATAAAAAGGTTAGAATTTTATGATTTTTTTAAAATAAAATATCAAAAGGATAAACAATGCAGATTTATTTTCACACCCACCTTTGCTCATATTTACCAACGGTGCCAATATAAGGGGACAGCACTGTATAAACTGGATATTTGTTTTTGTGCCATACCTGTCCTTGAAGAACATTGTTTCTCCACTAAAAGTTGTAACAGCATCAAAAGGGTCACAAGACTTAGTTGGTAAGTCATCAGGTCTGTCTCTGTTTGGGCCTGAAGGAAATACCACATGGTAAACAAATAACTGAATATGTTTCACTCAAACATTATAAAGATCATATTACCATAGAGCGACTGAATCCCATTGATGTCATCAGAGGACAGAGAGAAACGACCCGGATCTGGGAGGGTGTAATGGGGAAACATCAGAGCGCCACGATCGCCAGAATGAGAAAGACCCAAAGAGTGACCGAACTCATGGGCAGCCACCAAGAACAGGACAATACCTGCAGAGAAATTACGTGGAAAATCTTGAGTTGATTTACTTGAAATCAAAGTGGTGATGAAGATGAATCTCAAAAAACTACACTTAGCAAAACCTAATGCACAAAACTAAAAAAAATAACAATAAACAAATGACATTGAGCACCTGGTGAATGGAAAGTGAAAAACTCATCATCATCGAAATGTGCATCTCCACCAATTCCAGATGAGGGAGCGTAAGCATGAGCCAAAGTTTTGCCTGGTCCATCAAATGCTATACCATCGCCATGATCTGAAGGAAAGAGTTTAAATTGAATTTTTAATAAAATAAGATTTTAGACATAAAAGGAACCTGGGCTTTATTTTGAAAGGCATTTCATTTGCAATTAACGATTCATTCGTTTTCTAATGACTTTTAAATCTTGAATCGTTTATGATGGCCAATAATCGATCATGTTTTTTTGTTCCATTCATTGAAACATTTTCCAGATTTCCGAAATAAAAAAGAAAATACCTTAATTAAATGTAAACTTCACCATTATTTAGTCTAAAATAGAACTGTGTTGTTTTGTTAGTATCGATGGCGAGCACAAAGCATGATTTTGTTTTTATAGATGTGCATACATGGCCTTCAGGTAAAAAAAAAAGGTTATATTAGTTTTGATATTGTCACTTTTGTTGTAATAAACAGACCAAAATAGTTTGTCTAGTTTATGCATTATGGCAAATAAGTACAGAATTATATAAATATATTTTAAAACAAAGTAAATTGTGCATAAAATCGAATTGAACGGTTCTGAATTTGCAAATTTCTCTATTGAATTTAATCAGAAACCCAGTGAATTGAACTGCCCAAAGATTCATAGCCCTAGTACGATATCCACACTTTAAAAACAATAAAATGAACTAAAAAAATGTAATGTGAACAGGTAACTTACTTTTTTTAGTTAAACCAACAATCATTTTTACAGTGCACCAGCTGGAGTGCCCTTGATTTCCACCAGAGGGCACTCCTTCGGTCTTTGCTAGACTACTTTTCCCAGAAACCTTTGTCCGAACTCAAGAAGCAGATCTTAACAACTTGCTGTCACCATTATTTTATTTTTAATTTTCAATTAACAAAGTTTCATATATTATAATTCCAACAGTAACTTAGGATCCTCAAGTAATAAAATATCACCATGTTTAAAAGTACACATCAAAATGAGAAGCACATTCATAAACAAAATATAAACATTAATAAATGGATGTAGAGGAAACACACCTCCTGTTCCAAATGAGATCATGATGTCTGCTGTGCCACTGTAGATCCGGGTGAACCTCAGAGGAGTGACGTCTGCCCACACCTGCAGGGCTCTTCTGATGGAATCGTCCACCTCCGCTACTGACATGTCAGGGGTGTAGTTCTCAATCCTGAGAAAAAGGACCACAGTCGCTTTCTGCTTCTCTTTTTTTTCTGTGACACCAGGAGAACTCATATTATACACACCTGTACGTGAGCTTGTTGGTCTGCCATTTGGGACTGCCTCCAAACGTGGAGTACGCAGCGACATCTGGAACTCCACAGCGGGGCTTCTTCATCAGCGCCAGTGTTTCTTCGTCCAGCGTTCCAGTGACCTTAAGCCTAAAAAACTTCTGCATCAGTCTCAATTTATCAGCCAGTGGATCTACTCGCTCTTTGGCTGCAGAACTAGGGACACTAGGAAGTTTATATTCCACATTGTAGAAGTTCTTCAGGTAATTCTAAAGAATGCAAAAACAGAATCATTGGAAGAATTAGGCCTATGATCAAAGACAAAACAAATATATATGTATACACACACACACACACACACACATATATATATGTGTATATATATAAACCCCAAACCTTTGCAATTTCATAATCATCAACAGGCTGTAGAATCGGTCCTGCGTGAATAACAAGCACCAGGCTTGCAAGAAAACCCAGCAGGCGGTGAATCCTCCTCATGTTGAGTTGCTTCTTACGATCTTGAGCTTCTCTTCTGATGGGAAGCGTCTGATGGAGGCTTTATACTCTTAAAACGGTGAGGTGTTGAGCAAAAGTCAAATTATCAGCCACACACTTCTGTGAGTAAGCCATCAAACTGACAGACTGATAATAATAACAGGATTTTCAACTTTACTGACAGTCTTTTCCTCCTCGCCCAGATATTTGTATTATTTCTTTGCCGTGGCTTATTATTTAACGGCAACATTTCCAACCGTTTCTATGTAGGCCTGTTATAAACAAAAAACAAGGTCAACATGGTAATAGGCTAATATGTGTTTACAGTTTTTTAAAATACTTTACAAGCTTTACTGAACTGCTATTCAATTTAAAATAACTAAATAATATCAATAAATACATTTTACAGTGATATATAAATAATTTTACTCAATAAAAATACAGATTTAACTTTTTTATACCTTAAATGTATATGTATTGTTAAATATAATATAGGCTACAGATGTAGCATAAATTATAAATTAGCTCATTAACACCGTGTCTAAACTACACGCGACGCGACCCCGCGACACACGATAAAAAGTTAATCAGAGTTAGTTAATCCAGGTTAATCAGAGTTTTTGTCCTAAACCAGACGTCTGACAGAATGAAGAATTTGCACTGGTTATGAGTAGCCTACACATTATTTATTTTTAGTTAAAAATAGGTCACTGTGCCACAAGCGATAACGGATTTAACGTTACCTCAGATTTTGAAAGCATATAATATAGCGTTCAAAATGAATTCTATGCAAACATACAACTGTACTTCATAACAAAATTAGTCAATGAGTATGTTTTGTTAATGTTTTGATTTTTAACAATGTTATTTCTTGATTTGATTATGTCCTTACCCATTGCGGGTGAGTGCGGGCAGTGCGCCTTCACAGAGAGACTCCGCCCACACGCTGTTCTGAATGGCTGTGATTTTTGATTGACGTGTGGCGTCTCACAGTCGCGTCGCCTGTAGTGTTGACAGACACGCTTGCTGTCGCTGGAATTTTATCGCGTCGCGTTTAGTTAGGACACGGTGTTATACCATAGAATGTGGTTATACTTTATTCTTGTTTCTCTAAAAACTCTAAACTTACATTTAACCAATACTAAGTTGTACCACAGTAAAACATTTTTTTAAATTATATATATATATATATATATATATATATATATATATATATAGTATATAAATATAAAGTATATTCAGTAAAGTATATTCAGGCTTCAGTCTTCTCCGTTGAAATCATCAATGGGGTTGCTGTGTCCATTTCTTTTACTGTCTAAGTTATGTCATTATTACGAGAAAGTTTCTCATTATACGAGAAAGTTTATCATTATTATGAGATGTTAAGTCATTATTACGAGATGTTAAGTCATCATTTTGAGAAAGTTTCTCATTATTATGGTTTGTTTTCCTAGTTCATGGGACTCTGCCTGAATCTTTCTTGCCTGTTTTGGATACTATAGGTTTTATTAGTGCCTGTCGTTAAAAACTGGCAAAATAAACAGCATGAACAATTATAGACCTATACCCCTAACGTCAACATGTTACAGAGATGTGGGTTACACTTTACAATAACACTACACGAATAATTGATATTGATAGCAACAGTGGAATCACTTAAAACAGAATGAGATTAAATCGTTGCTTCATTCAGTAAGGTTAAATGTAAATATATAGACTATCTAGTGTCATTCACTGATTTGTGACAGTTTCTGCCCATGTCAAAATTTATGAACCATTTTACATTATGCCCTTTTAGTACATCTTTCTTCATATCTAGAACATGTTTGATTTAGTTTACCCCGAAATGTTAATTAATACATTAACAAGCATGTACTAACGTGTAGTTAAGATAATCATGCAGGGATTTGTATGACTCATGTCGTAGTTAAGGTTAGTTCCTCATTGGTAGGCCTACATGTCTTAACTCATCATTAGTTCCTTGTAAAGTAATTATTAGGTATTAATACATGATTATGTGTACTGTTATTGTAAAGTGTTACCGACATGTGTATATATGCTTTAAAGGAAATTTTAGGTCTTTTAAAATGATAATAGCCAGAAATCCACAACTTTTATGTGTTTTATTGATGCCTCTATGTTGCAATTTCAGAATTTTTTTTTTGATGGTTTACATGATCAATGCCTATAGGATTACCAAAAGTAATAATAAGAATTGTAGTTTTGTGGTATTCACACCAGTTTACTGTTTGTCACGGAACTGGTAGTGAAGCGAGGATTCAAGTGCATAAAGATTTATTAAATAAAAAAACAGCACAGGACTGCAAACACAGGGAGACAAAATAGGGAAGCAAACAAAAGAGGGCAACGTTGATTGTTGGTTGGTTGGTTGTTAATGTTGGTGGGACTATACCTGTTCTGCCTTAAGAAATCTTTTTTGATAAATGATTAGAAAAAAAAATATAAAAGCTTGCCTTTAGCCCACAACAATGATTTTAGTTCTGTCAGGTATACATCTAAACTTTTCTTAATTTATTTCTATATACATAGATGCATACAGATGCAAAAAGGCATGAGCCTATGTCAATTCCATCAGACACACCTATCAACCCACCAGAATACCAAATGGAGGTCTGTGCACTATAGGTGGAAAGAGGTAGAGCAGGCTGTGAGAAAGGCAAGGGCTTCATCATCTCCAGGGCCTAATGGAGATCCACACAGAGTGTGCAAGAGTGTTTCAGGGGTTCTGCGAATTCTGTGGAAATTGATAAAAGTGGTGCTTGTCTTCTGGGATGCGACACCAGTCAGAGCATGCATGGATGACATGACAACCATGACTAACAGTAGCCTGCACTAATCGTCATTGGGGAAGTTAATAGATAATATGAAATTATTATGAAATTATTAAATCGCAAGAATGCAATTTAAGCCCTCTAAATCAAGGAGCATCTTGATAGTTAAAGGAAAGGTAGTAGATAAAAAAAAAGAAATAGAACATGGAATAGGTGGAGGCTCAAATGAGTCAGTCGGACACCAAAGTGGAGATTCTGGATTTGAGTGACATGTTCCAGGAAACAATATAAACTAATGTTACGTTGACATCGCCCTTGAAAACAGTTGATTTGCCATTTGTTCTTTTCTCAAACACTTTTTTTTTCTTTTTAGGTGTGTAGGGAATGCTTCCTCTAAACATGTTAACAAATAACATGGGCATGACAAGATTTTTAATTTAAAAATGTATATATATGAAACTAAGAAAGTAATATAAGAAAATGTTTGTTGTATAGACATTTTTAACCCTAAAACATGCAACATTTCTCATCGTTCTTGTCTTTTTTGGGACATAAGAACTTTTTTTTTCCCCCATCAAATTCTTTTATCACTTATGACAGCTTGGTATGTCTTGAGAGCCCCCGGTGGCCCACGAGGCTGGGGGTGGTCTCTTTCGAAAGGTATCGGTCCGTTCTCCACTCGATAAAAATTTAGCATCGAAACATTTTTCGCCGAGATATTTGCGATTTTCTCCCGAGCTCGTGGCACCATTTCAGAGCGCGGCCGACGGTTTTCGGTTAATATCTCTACTCCACCAAAAACGACGAAACGCATATGTTTTTTTTCCCCCCGACGGATACGTTGAGTTTTCGCCGAGATATTTGCGTTTTTCGCTTCCGGAGGGGATTTTGGGGACTGTATCTCGGGCCCCCGGGGGCCCACGAGGCTGGGGGGGGACTCTTTTGAAAGGCCTTAGTGATCCAGCCTCTATGATGAAAGGGCAGCAAATATCATATATTTGTCATTTTCGTCACAAAGCCGTTCAACAGCAACTTCAATCACAGGTACTGCCACCAATAAATATGTAAGGCGTGCGGTTCAGCTGCCCGTGGATTGGTTGGAAGACGATGGACTTGAAATTGACTAACTACTTCCGCGGGAGTGCCACCTGTCAGCGTGTTCATCGCACGCCCATACATGAGAATGCAGATTACGCTACGTTTTATGAATGCCAATTGGTTAAAACAATGAATAATGATCTCTATATTGATTATCTTGAGCCTGCTATAGCCTAATGTTGCTATAAATACATTTTCTTTCCAACTGTTTCATTCTGAATAATAAATAAGCTAAAATAAATTAATTAAATTATTAAAATATTATAATAACTGATAGTTATCAAATAAACGTAGGTCTGACCGGAGCTATAATACGTTAATAACACTTCTGCTAAGCTAATTCCTAACATTAGATCAGAACACACCTGTCCCATACACCGCACGACCCAGAATGTTATCAGGTGGAGCATTGAATAAATCATCAAAATGTAGTAGCCTACTACAGTTTTCTTGCTAATGCCTTACACATCTTCATGACAGTGAGAGGCACATTTTTAGGCAGTAAATGAACCAAGAACATCTAATCTAACTTGAACATTAACACACATAACTTTACTATCACAAAAACTTAAAGATCTTACTGCAATAACACATAAATCAACTCTCAATAAACAGTTACCCATAATAATGCACCCAGCAATATATTTGTCCACTAACCTGCAGCAGTCTTCTCATTAACAAAAGTATTTTTGCCTTTGCCTGCTTATATTCTAAAGCCTACTTGAGCTTACATTTTGAAATGAATTTGACTAATAAAAAGTGTGCATTGGTGCTTTATTCCTGTCTTTTTAAAATAGTTGAACGAATGAATAAATGAATGATCGCGAGGTGCGATCGTAGATCAGAAGAATGAGTCAACTTCTCTGATAATTAATTAAACATTTTGGTCATGAACATGTAAATAGTAAAACGACTGACATTGAAAAAATGACACTGAATGATCGTACTGATGATATTCATCTGTTCTCACCAACGTAGCCGAACACTGACACCCTGTGGTGAAATAATGGCGTTTTTTTTTTACTGCCGCAGCTTTCTCGGATTGGCTTTGGATTTAAACTTCATGTTCCGATGAGTTTTGAAAATTCTGCACACACACAGTAAACATCAGAATATCCCTTCTTCTGTCAATAAATTTTCCAAAATATAAAACTTTATTACAGACACTCATTTTAGGTGGTGTTTGTTCAACTCATTGACGATTGACCGCAGTACATCGAAAGTAAACATAACCGGAAGTAAGTGATAATTGTTTCCAAACGGAAGTGCGCAAGTAGTAATTACTTTTTACTTTTTTTACGACTAATAACTTTTTATTGAGCAGAGAGAGTGTTATAAACTCCACACTATTATCTGAGTCGGAAAGTCTCTTGTGTTAATGT